ACCCTATCCTGACAGATGGCTAGTCTCTGTTGAGACTGGCGCGGTCATTAGAAATTATCCAATTTTTATGACATTATCTTATGCCAATATCGAATTTTACGATGACTATGGTGCCACGGCTAAGGGTCTGTTTCGGTATGAAAGTGTATAGTATAGTTAATATAATTAAAGGCTCTAAAACATTCTATGTTCGTCCTCAGAAGTGACAACGTATTGTGACCTTCTTTTATTGGGCGCAGGTGTACATAGGCTGCAGTAGCCACTTGTCATCAGGTGAACTGTAAGTGCATTTGTCGCTTCAAATTTTACAAAAAATAATTAAAAATTAAAAATGTTGTACAACCGACATCAATATAAATTATTAAGAATAACTCAAAAACTATTGGTCACACCTTGATTATATGGGACCACATGTGAAGCACCAGCTTTCAAATAAAAAAAATAATCATCGAGATCGGTTCATCAAGTATAAAGTTATGAGGTAACACACATAAAAAAAACATACAGTCGATTTGAGTACCGTCTCCTTTTTGAAGTCGGTAGAAAAATAAAAATGAATGCCGGAATAAAATGCCTCCCAACCTCTAATAACAATGAGACTCTGACTTAAATAGGAAAAAGGTTGTATATTGGCAGTAAAAGTAGGTAAATCAGTGTTATGTACTCGGGTAGTATACAAGTATATATGAAAGTTACAGCCTACTACGTCCCACTTCTGGGCACAGACCTCTCATTTCTTAAAAGGTTTTAGGGCTAGAAAATGACCGCAGCGCTGCCACAATGCATGTTGATGGAATTCACATGCACACAGTCCACCTGATGGTAAGTGGTTGCTGTGGCCCACAGACATCTACATTTTTCCTTGTCTGTGAATCAAATTGCAGATGCGTTGTCACCGGTGAGGACTAAGATGGAATGCCTTTTTTCCAGTAGAAAGGGTCTCCGGTTCTCTACACTCACCATACGAAACAAAGCAGCGTTAAGCTGCTATTTTACGCTGGTATTCTGTGAGAGCGTGGTCCTTCCCCAGTCGAGTCGACCCATTCGTGCTACAACTATACTACTGATATAGCTGCAGCATGGCTCTACAACGTTAAAACACTCTGCTCTGCTTAATGCATAGTTACTCTTGGAACTAATTTAGATTTAGGTAGGTTGTGTTTGAGACAAAAGGCAGCTTTAGTTCAATCATTCTTATTAGTTTGTAGCTAGGCGCACTCGCTATTTACATATTTATTACGCGAGTAATACATATGTATCCTTCACCGTAGAACACGTGGTAAAACACACATAAAGTATGCATTGATAACGTAAAGTACGTGAAGTATATACATTAATATTTTTGATATATTCCTAACCCAGGCCCAATCCTCGCTAGTAGGTAAAAATAAATTTGTTAGTTGCAATTTTAAGTGTTGATTTACGAGATGCTCAGCGGTAAATGAAAATATCGTGAGAAGTGCATTTCTAAAGATTGAAAATATTCCAAAGATTTGTGAAGTACTTAATCGTAGATGCCTGTGACGCCAACAGACGGTGCAGCAGCGTCACTGATTAATTGCTCCATAACCCTTTTAGAAATGTGAGAAGGCCTATGGCCAGCATTGCGACGTAATAAGTTATTTCACTTTTTAACTTTTTTATAAGTAGGTGTGGAATGTTTCCGAACCGTTACAGCCTATTAAAATCCACTGCTGAACGTAGACCTGCCCCATATATCCACTGCTGAACATAGATTGCCCCAAAGGGGGATATTTGCCATAGTTGCCACGCTTGTCAATCGGTTTGCCAACCGTAGGTTTTTATATTTAGTCTTTATTAGGAAGACGCTGTTGTCTATCCATGAGTTCTTTCCCTCTATCGCCTCTTACGACACCCACGGGATGATATGGAGCAGTGGATCTTACACCGCCACTACTCGGTAAACACGGTGCCAAGCATTGTGATGTATATAATCTGTTATCTTACTTCTTATTATAAGTATGTGAGGAATGTTTTCAAACTGTGAAACTTAAATACAACTACACTTAATGTTTTAATTAATAATTGTGTAAAAGGTGGTAATATTCTATTTCTATATCTATTTCTCAGAAATAGAATAAAGCATTGCGTGAACTACTTAACTCCTGTCAGAAGGGGAGTATAGAGAACCATAAAGCGACATATACTAATGAACAGTAAACTAAAATGACAATGTGTCGGGTGTCGGCCATATTGATTAACTGTCAAGTAATAGAGATGAAAGGTTTCAGAGTGGCAGCCTCGTATCGCAGTGTTAAGCGACCTCCCACTAGATGGAGTGACTTGATAAAACATGTTATCTTTGAGCTTTGGGGCAATCTATAATAATAATAGAGCTGTTACATGTTAATTAACAATGATTTATATAATATTGTATTTTAATGGCCACACCGCGTCGGTTGTCAACACTGTGTCTGTTATGAAGGAAGGTTCAGTATGATGTTATAGGCTCTCCATGTTGTTGTTTTGAGGTTAATAAAAAGCACGTTTTATGTTCAAAGTATTATATCTTTAATTATCCCCATAATCCTTAACAGAGTTATGGTCCCAGTACGGCCATCAGATTTATAGTGGATTAATAAGTGTTAAAGGACAGAAAATGTCAAAAGAAAAATATCAAATTGTCCCTTTCGCGGGGGACAATTACAACGCATGGGAGTTTCGATTAAAATGTATCCTGCGGGATAATGGAGCAATAGAGGCGATTGAAAAGGAGGATTTCAGTAAATCTACGGATAACAAGCAATTGCAATTGGAAGCTAAGGCCCAGGCTATCATAATAGCGGCAACCGCTGACAGTCACCTCGAATACTTAAAGGACAAATCTGCTTATCAAATGATTAAAAGCATGGAAGACAGCTTTAAGAAGAAACACAGGTACACGATCTAAATTATTTATAAGAAGAGAGTTGTCCGATATGAAATTCGACGAACGGAAACCTTTAATGGAACATTTTATTGACATGGAAAAGCTATTTGCACAACTCGGGGATGCTGGCAGTGAGCTCTCGGAGGAAGAAAAGGTTAACTATTTACTTCTATCCATGCCGAAATCTTATGAAGGCATTATCACGGCTTTGGCAACTGTTTAGGAATTAAAAATTGACTTAGTGAAAAACAGACTCCTTGGGGAAGAGGAAAAACGGAACAGAGGAGCGACCAAATCACTTGACTCTTCAATCTTCTTGTGTTATGGATGTGGACGCCCCGGACACAAAAAATCCCAGTGTAAAAGCACTCAGCAGGCACGACACAGGACTGGCGACTGGAGACTTCACGGCCGTGGACGTAGCGACTTGAAGTACAACGGAAGCCGAGACGACAGTAAGGCAACTAGTCATCAGACCCAGGGGAGAGGTAGAGGAAAGACATTTCTTGCAGGCACTGAAAATACTGAAGGTAACAAATTTGTACGTTTTATGTCCTTTAGCCCTGACACCGAACAGCAGAATAAAAATTGTTTTAAATGGGTTGTTGGCTCAGGTAGTTCATTTCATCTTGTAAATGACATTAGTTTATTCTTTAATTATTGTAAACTGGATAAGCCAATTAAAATTTCAGCTGCCAAAAATGGCGTTGATTTAGAGGCTGTTGGTGTAGGAACAATAAAATGCTATTTAAGTGATTTTAAAGTTGATATTATATTAAATGATGTGTATTATGTGCCACATAATGTTAATTAACAATGATTTATATAATATTGTATTTTAATGGCAACACTGCGTCGGTTGTCAACACTGTGTCTGTTATGAAGGAAGGTTCAATATGATGTTATAGGCTCTCCATGTTGTTGTTTTGAGGTTAATAAAAACACGTTTTATGTTCAAAGTATTATATCTATAATTATCCCCATAATCCTTAACATTACACAGGTCAACTCAGGACATATGTAAATGAAGCAATGGAGTTGTTGTAATGATTATTATAATAAGACTACATTTTCATTATTAAAAGCCAGAGGTCATTCTTAAAACAAATGATTACAAATAAAAAAAAGAATATGATTTTTTTTTATAGGATAAGGATGATAAACGAGCACACAGTCCACCTAATTGGTAGTGGATATTTTTATCCTCAATTAAGAATCAAATTCAGATACGTGGTGGTATTTTGTAAAAAAAAGAATATGATTTTTTTTTTATCGAATAGGGATGACAAACGAGCACACAGTCCACCTAATTGTAAGTGGACATTTTTATCCTCAATTAAGAATCAAATTCAGATACGTGGTGGTATTTTGTAGGTGGTAGAGTTATGCTGCAGCTGTATTAGTATAGTTGTAGCACGAATGAGTCGACTCGACCGGGGAAGGACCACGCTCTCACAGAATAATGAGTGAGTGTAGAGAACTGGAGAACCTTTTTACTGGAAAATAGGCATCCCATCTTAGTTTTCACGGGTGACAACGCATCTGCATTTTGATTCGCAAAGGAGGATAGATGTATAGACATCTACATCTATCCTCCTTTGTGAATGGGCCGCAGCCACCACTTACCATCAGGTGGACTTTGTGCTCGTTTGTCACCCTATCCTATAAAAGATACGTTGACGCCCCTGAGGACTAAGATGGAATAGCTCGTTTCCAGCAAAAAGGTTCTCCTGTTACCTACATTAACCATACGATACATAGCACCATTGAATTATATTTTATTTTATTCTATTTTACGCTAGTATTCTGTGAATACGTATCCTTCCCCGGTCAAGCTGTCACATTAGTGTTACAACCATAATATAGCTGCAGCAAAATATTTCATCGTAATTTAACTATTTTTTTTTATCAGAGATCACATCACTGGAGATAAAGTTCGTTACAGCTGCTGTGTTATCTAACAACTACAATATTTGATTTCATAATGTTTAATTGTATTATTTCACTGTGATAATGTATTCTAATTGAATTTTAATGGTTTCAGAGTCAGTTATGAGTTTGTCATATAGTGGTCATTACGTTTTGTGAAATTTGAAGCGAAGATAATAAGATGGGGAAACTACATCAGATACATACGTCAATTTCATGTGAGTTATTTTTGAATGTTAATACTTCTTATCGACTCAGTTACTCACCTCCATTGTGTCAGTAATTCATTCTTGGCCGATGTATACGCCTTTCTAACAAAATCTCTCCACAAAGTTCAAATACTTTAGTAAACAAAGTTCCTGTAAAAAGGATTTTTATAATATTAAATAATTTTTTGGATGATAATATCTCCTGGGGATGAGGTGATCGCTACCATGGTATTTCTAATTTGTTTTGTGTTGTTAATTGTGTAACATACATGATTCTACGTTGTCATTGTTTTTTAAAAGTCCCGCTGGGTTTCTTGCTGGGTTTTACAGGACATACAACAGGATCGTAGGGAACTCCTGGATACTTTCTTCTAGTGCAGTTCATGTAATACTCATATTGAAAAGCTGGCTTAAGCCAGAATTCTCGTCCACGTCTTATAGTCTTCTAGGTTATATTTTATTCCGTAACGACCGCAATAGTCAAAGGGGCGGAGGTGTCGCTATATATCTGCGTAGTGATATACTTATAAAATATTAAACAAATGGAATACATTTTTGTCGAAGTTAATGTCAAGAGTGTTAAAGTGTTTCTTGAAGTTGTCTGCTGTCCACCTCATTTGGACTACTTCTCCAACTTGGAAGAAAATTTGTTGTCTTTCAGTTCTTCCTAAACACATCACATTATCATGGGAGACTTTAACACTGACCTATTAGGGGTTGCTCTCAAAATTTGAAAACTGAGGTCGACCATGATGTTGCATAATTTCACTATTTTGCATATAAACGCAACACATCACAACTTCCAATCTGCTGACACGTGGATCGACCTTATAGCCGTCTCCTCCGTTGAACACGTTGTCAGTTATAGACTTTCCCTGCTTCTGGATTCGGCATGACCTGCTTTTCCTGACATATAAATTAAAGTCTTACAAGCTTTTATCCGTGTCTATCGCTATTCGTAGTCTTGCTAGACCAGATATATAATTAATAGAATCAGGCGTTACTTTGCGGAAATCCATTATATAAAAGCTTTTACAAAAATTTACTTCGCAAATATCCGCGTTATAAAATAAAATGATGTGTCTTACCTAGTATGAAGAAGCACCTCCAGCCCTGTCTCAAACCTGTCTCAACATCATCTTAATACATTGGATCGTCTACTTAACAACTGTATCAGATACATTTATGGTCTTCGTAAATACGACCATGCTCAGCTAAATTGGTTGCCTATCTGTCAACGAAGATATGTTAGAATAATCTGCACCTTTTTCACAATTCTGAATGACCTATGTGCTCCCGAGTATCTGAAATCCAAATTTCAATACATGGGAGATTCTCATAATCGTTCTCTTCGTTCTTCATCTAATCTTAAATTGCTCACTCCTTTACCCCGTACTGGTTATTTATCTTAATCTTTCGCCCTCACGACCATACAACTCTGGAACGATATCTCTATTGACATTAACAAAGCTCCCAACAAGTTTGTTTTTAAAAATCAAGTCCATAAGCATGTGAAAAAGTCGTTGCAAGTTTGAACTTACAAAGCTCTTATTTTCATTTAATTATTTATGTACGAGTATATTTCATATTTGTTCTGACATAGATAATATTTATATGTATTGTGTATATATGTACTGTGCATGTATATGTGTATGTATATATTTATATATGGATATACATACATACATACATATATTTTATTTATTTTTTAGCCGTTTCTATTTTGATTACTGCTCCGCACCGCTTCTTGTTTGTCTATTTGTGTTTAGCCTAATGGTTGACTGGGAGAGAATGCCCTATGGCATTCAGTCCACCATATGTACAGCTTTGTACATACTTACTTACTTACTTATCTTCACGCACAATCCCTGACGGGGTAGCCAGAGAGAACAGATCGCCAAGCGTCACGATCCTTACATACCTCTTTCGCTTCTTTCAGATTCATTATCTTCTTCATACATGCACGTCTAGGTATCCGAGTACTCTTGACCCTACCATCTTCGAGAAATTTGCTCACATGGTCTTCGAAAGTTAGTCTCGGTCTACCTCGACACCTTTTAATATTAACTTTCGCGCTATATATTTTCTTCACCATTCGGTGAAGAAAATATATAGGTGCTCTATGGTCCGGAGTCCCGGAGAGCGAAAACGCCTGCCAGGGAGTGGGGGTGCTGCTGTCTTCTCGGTTGGTCGATGTTATGACTGAATATAAGTTTGTGAACTCAAGACTTCTCTGGGTTCGCTTTAAATTGGGACTGACGAAGTTATTCCTTTTGGCTGTTTATGCGCCGGTAGCTTCGTCGTCCAGGGCTGAGCTGGAGGAGTTTTGGGAGAATGTAAGAGAAGTTCTAGATTTGGCTAGGGGAAACGAAAGAATTGTTGTATGTGGTGATTTGAATGGATGGGTTGGTACCGCTCGACCAGGGTACGAGTCGGTACTTGGAAAGTTTGGCGATAAAAGGGTTAATGATGCTGGCAAGCTTATACTGGCGGTGTGCAAGGAAAAGGGTCTTCTTGTGACAAACACTATGTTTAATCACAAGAAAATCCATATGTATACTAGAGAAAGAAAGAATGAGAGAAGTATGATCGATTTGTTCCTGGTGGATGACCGACTGCGAAAACAGGTTATGGATACGCGAGTGTTCAGGGGTGCTGACCTGGGAACGGATCACTATCTAGTGATTACTAGATTTAGGAGTCTGTTCGCGGGTTGGCGCTACCGGACGGCAGTGACAGAACCACAGTCGGTCTGTCGCATCCGAAGCTGGAAGCTTCAGGAAGCGGATACTGGGGACAAATATCATGCGAGGGTAGCCGAAAAGCTTGACACCATCGATGGCAGAAACGAATGTGTAGAAAGAACATGGCAGAACCTTAGGGATGGAATGGTAAGTGCAGCGGAAGAAGTGTGTGGAACAATAAAAAGAGGAAGAAGTAAAAGAAGAGATGCATGGTGGAATGATGAAGTGAAAGAAGCTGTAAAGAAGAAGAAAAAAGCATGGTTAGACTACTTGGCCTCTAGTAATGATAAGGATATGAGAGAGAAGATGAAAGAAAGATATAGGCTGCAGAAAGTTCACACGAAAGCATTGATTGAGGAAGTGCGTGAAAGGTGTAGAATGCAAGCGGACGAAAGGTTGTCGCACAACTTTAAGGAGAACTCCAAACTCTTCTGGAAAGAGGTTGGAAGGACCCGAAGTGGTGCGACGGCCTTAAGAATGAACAAAGTGCTTTCGAGAACTAATGATGTCCTCTCAGAAAAATCGGACGTCATGCAGCGATGGAGCGAATTTTATAGAGAAATGTATGCGTGTGATGATCTTAGTGAGGGATCCGGGGATGACGCCGTGACTGGTACGCCAGACCCGGACCTCGATGACACTGAGGTCATCAGTATGAAAGAGATTGAACGTGCGATTCGAAGTTTGAAATGTGGTAAGGCTGCGGGACTAGACAGAGTTACTGCTGAAATGGTCAAGTATGGTGGGCCTCGCGTCTGGGACAGCTTTCATCTGCTGTGCAATTTGTGCTGGCGGACGGGGGATGTCCCGGATGATTGGCGATCCGCAGTCATTGTGCCTTTATATAAAGGTAAAGGTTCACATTTTGACTGCGGGTGCTATCGGGCGATCAGCTTGACCAGTTTAGCAAGTAAAGTTTACTCGAAGGTTTTGACACGTAGGATGCAAGAGAAATCGGAAAGATTTCTATGGGAGGCACAATCGGATTTAGACCTGGAAGAGGATGCACGGATCAAATGTTTTCTCTCCGCATGATCACGGAAAAGCTTCTGGCTGCTAACCAGAAGATTTTCTGTGCTTTTGTGGATCTTGAGAAAGCATTTGATAAGGTTGTAAGGAAGAAAATGTGGGAACTGTTGTCGGGGTATGGTGTGGATGGCCGATTGCTAAGGGCTGTGCAGTCTCTTTACTGTGACTGTAAAGTCTGTGTGCGGGTAGGGCATGACTTGTCACCCATGTTTAGCGTCCAAACGGGCGTAAAACAGGGTTGTGTCATGTCTTCCTGGCTGTTCATACTGTATCTCGACAGCTGTTTACAAAAGCTGAAAGATAGCTGTTTGGGTGTGAAATTGGGTGACATAAAAGTAAATTGTCTGCTGTATGCTGATGATGCAGTGCTTATTGCACCATCAGAGGCAGAACTGCAGGCATTAGTCACGTGTATGAAAGAGGAATGTGAAATTAAAGGTCTCCGTTTGAACGCTAATAAAACTAAGGTTCTGGTATTTGAAAGGGACGAAGAGAGAACGAAGTGTGAAATATGGGTAAATCAGGAATGTCTAGAACAAGTAAATGAAATTGTATACTTGGGGAGTGCTTTTAGCCGGGATGGAAGATGTGATTTAGATGTGGACAGGCGTGTCGCTGCCGGGAACAAAGTCAATGGTGCCCTGACTGCGTTAGTCAAAAGGCGAGACGTAGTGAAGAGTGCACGCCTTGCAATACATAACGCAGTGTTGGTACCGACTTTGTTATATGGCAGCGAAACCTGGGTATGCCAGAAGAAGCATAAAAGCAAGTTGAATGCATTGGAGATGCGATCTCTTCGTAAAATGTGCGGCGTTACCATGGCCGACCGAAAGCGAAACGAAGAGATTCGCAATATGGCAGGTTTGAAAGATGACCTTATCACAAAAATTGATAAGAGCGTGCTTCGGTGGTTTGGGCACGTTGAGCGAATGAGCTTTGTACATGAAAGTTTAAATAAGTAAATAAATAAATAAGAGATGCTGGAAGTACTATGAGCCTTATTGGTAACCTTGATTAGGTTATGATTACACGTGGTAGAGCCATCCATGCTGTAGCTGTATATAATGGTTGTAGCACGAATGGGTCGGCTAGACCGGGGTAGAACCACGCTCTAAACGACTAAAATAACAGCTCAATGCTGCTGTGTTTGGTATAGGTAAGTGTAGAGAACCGGAAACCCTTTTTAATGGTAACAAGGTTTTCCATTTGAGTTCTCAGGGTTGACAATGGATCTGCATTTTGCTTCTTAATCGATGAGTAATGTAAATGTCTATGGACCATAGCATTCACTTGCCATCAGGTGGACTATGTGCTTGTTTGTCACCTTTACTCTGTAAGAAAAACTTCATGCAAAATGGCCACAGATGCGTTGTTATGCTTTAGGATTTGTATGTAACTTTGCTCCTTTTCTAACAATTTAAATTGCAACAGCTGTGATTTGGCGGCGGAAATAAAGAAAAGATTGACAACTCAGACGAACTCCTAAAAATCAGGCCCCATCACTGCTTAAAATATGTACATCACTATAGCCCCTCCCCCCCACGAGTCCACTGCTAAGCTTAGGCATCCCCCAAGGATTGACGCAAAATACGTCGTCACTACATCTAGTGAATGGTCATCCTAGATTTTACTTATCGCTATTGTTTCTAGTTAATACTACTTGTTCCCTAAATCTTTTTCTAAAATAAAACTAGTTGATAAAGCCTAAGTTACTACTTGTAACATCATCTATCTACCAGTGAAAATTCCGTCAAAATTTGTCAAACTATTTCCGAGATTAGCCTGAACAAAAAGATAGACAGGTAAAAATTTAAAAACTTGTTTTTTTCTTGTTATAAGTACCGTCTATATTTCGTATACACTTTCGCATGCCTTTAGTAAAAAGCTGTTTTTCTGCCAACTTCCAAAAAGGAGACGGTACTCAATTCGACAGTATGTTTTTTTATGTGTGTTACCTAATAACTTTTATTTACTGGATAAACCGATTTTGATGATTCTTTTTTATTTGAAAGCTGGTACATCTCGTGTGGTCCCATATGAATTTGATTAAGGTCAGACCAATAGTTTTTGAGTTATTCTTCATAACTTATATTGAAGTCGGCTGTACAAAATTTTTAATTTTAAATAATTTTCTTTATTGATCAAAGCACCAATATACGTTATAAAAATAAACAGTAGTCCTTAAATAACCCTCAATGCCAATAGCAAGTTCTTACATTATATAAGTACCTACGATTATACAAAATACATACTGTCGTTTGTTATAGTTGACAAAGTAATGATATTTTTACGTGGTAGAGCCACGCTGCAGCTATATTAGTAGTATAGTTATAGCACGAATGGGTCGGCTCGACCGGGGAAGGACCACGCTCTCACAGAATACCAGCGTCAAATAGCAGTTTAACACTGCTGTGTTTCGTATGGTGAGTGTAGAGAACCGGAGACCCTTTTTACTGGAAAAGAAGCATTCCATCTTAGTCCTCACGAGTGACAACGCATCTGCGTTTTGATTCGCAAACGAAGATAAATGTAGATGTCCATGGGCCACAGCATCCACTTACCATCAGGAGGACTGTGTGCTCGTTTGTCACTCGATCCTATAAAAAAAATTAATTATTAGTGCTCAGATATTTAAAAATTATCTCAAAAACAATTTTAAACAAAAGACAGGCAATAAGAAAAGAAGAAAAATATTACAGAAATGAAGGGCTTGTTGAGCTTGTCACTTGCGCGCACCTTTGGTATTTTGAAATTATAAACACACACTTCAATTTGATTTTATTTTTTAATAAGTAAGTATCGATCGACCAAATAAGGTTACATAAGGCTGATTAACGCTAGATCTCAGTTTCCGATAGTCAACACACGACGTGCTGAGATCAATATGTGTCTGTACGCTTTTGTTTCTTTGGCTTTTAATAAAAATTACCTTTTTCAGGTTCATTTGGCTCATTGCTTACGGGGTTGCTTTATGTATGGCCCTCATATACGTTAGGGCTGTACACAGACAGCCATACAACGTTACTTAAGGCGCCAATGACAGATTTAGAGGGCTCCTTACTAGGCAGTCTCCCATCTCTTGGAGCTATGGTCGGAACTGCTGTAACTGGTATTGTGATTGGAAAATTTGGAAGACAAAAAGGCGGGATGCTGATAACTCTGCCTTTTGTGGTAAGAAATGTACCAGCCCATAAAAGTTTACATGAGACTTTCCCGTTTTAGGGAGGATTTGCTTTAACATATCCATATTTTTACATTTGAAGTAACCGAGATGGTTATGCTGCCATATTTCAGAAGCCATAAGATCATAGTTATATCTCATAATTGCAAAGTCGCTTAAGCCTGACACCGCCTATACACCATCTGCCAAAATTGACTACCACAGAATGGGGCATGATTGTCACAATCATTGTGCGGCTGCCCACACGATCGTGAATCCTACATATTTGTATTGTCATCTGTCCGAGATGGGCGTTGAAACAGTAGCAGCAGCCGCTAGTTATTTATTTAGTTTATAATATAACTATTATTGAAATGTAGATCACAACAGAGTGGTGAAAAAAAGGAAGGTGACAGTTCATCTGTAGTGTGTTCTTCGAAGTTGATTGCAGGTCCAACATGGTACATTCACGCTAAATTTATCCTCGATTACAAATCAAAATGCAGATGCGTTGTCAGCCGTGAGGATTAAGATGGAATGCCTCATTTCCAGTAAAAAGGGTCGCCGGTCCTCTACACTCCACCATACGAAACATAGCAGTGTCAAGCTGCCATTTTACGCTGGTATTCTGTGAGAGCGTGGTCCTTCCCCGGTCGAGCCGGCCCATTCGTGTTACAACTATACTACTAATATAGCTGCAGCATAATTCTACCACGTAAAGAAATGATGAACGGGAGTAAATATATTAGCCATATAGAGGAGGCGGAAAAGAAACCACTACCCCATTTCGTCTCGTGTATCTTGCTGATAATAGCACAAAGTAATTAAAAGCTGCGGTTACCAACGCGCTTGTCAAGCATGGATACTACTGCAAATATCCGGCTTGTTTGACAAACAGTGGGGGAAGCCTATAAGTGAATAGCCTTATTAAATGTAAAAAAGTAGCAGCCTACATACTCGTTCATCCTACTACTGAGAATAGGCCGCAGCGAGTTTTAAGACAATAATTTAAAATTAAAAATTTTGTACAACCGACTTCAATATAAATTATTAATAATAACTCATAAAACGATTGGTCACACCTTAATCAAATTTATATGGGACAATATCAAATATCAAGATGTAATTGCCAAACCTATTGTATACTTCAAGAGTAGAAGCAATAGTGGTTCTGATAAATGTAGCCAAAACTTTAACAAGGTACAATAAATACTAACTTTCCAATCTCCTTTCGAGATTTAGTAAAAATACCGTTGAAATAGGTGCCCTTAACTTACTACAAAATAGTAAAATTTGTTGTTATGTCAAAATTAAAAAAGATAAATTTTTTGAAAATAAATGATGTTGCGAATTATAATATCTTTTATAGTTTAAACTATGCGTATTTTTATGTGCGGCAACGTCGCTTTTTTTTATAAACTGTACACCGTTTATGAGTCTTCGCCTACTGAGTACTTAGTTGCGTAGATTACCTGTTACATATCAATAATTTTGTGTCTGTGATTAAAAATGTTTTTCTTTTATAAAATAAGGATAACAAACAAGTTAAACACACAGTCCACCTGGTAGTAAGTGGATGTTGTGGTCCATGGAGATCTACGTACATCTAGCCTTGATTAAGAACCAAAATGAGAATGCGTTATCTTCTTCCTTAGGAATACAATGGAATGCCTTGTTTGTAGTAAATAGAGTTTATTAAGGTAGTTTCAACGTAGTGAATAAGATATGCTTTTAATATTGTAATAGTGAAAATAACGTAACATTTAAATATAACGTTAATAATAATTATGTTATTATGTTTGATAGTCAATTGCTTTGAATTTTATTTTCCCAATAAAGCAAGTACCAAATTTAAAGCTATATTTTATTTCAAGAATTTTTCTACATTCTCTTTTACTACAGAATAAATTTAAGTACCATAAAAGATTTGAAATAATATGCGTTTAATAAAACTATTTTTACGGATTTTATCGCGTTTAATTAACTTATGATAGGAGGAGGATGATACGTGAGGCTATTGAAATTGGCAGCGAAAGAACATCGATTCCTGCCAAGGATGATACGTGAGGCTATTGAAATTAAAAAACATCCTAATTTCAATAGAGAGGGAGGCTGGGTACTACCACCTGCTTGGGATCCTGTAATTCATAAAATTAAAACTAAACCCAAGCATACCACTGCAAGACTTCAAGACACAGTTCATTCTGCGTAGATCGGACCAAAATTAATAATTAAAAAGCTGAAGGTACTCCGGGTTAACTTTGACATCGGGACGTCAATCACCTCAGTCCCCCGTGACCACGGTTGCTGGAAAGCAACCGAAACGTCGGGAATATAAAATAAGTTAATTAAACGCGATAAAATCCGTAAAAATAGTTTTATTCAATGTGTAGTGTTCGCGTAAATATAAGAAATCATTATTATATGCGTTATAAAATGGTGCTTATTTTGAATTAACACCAAGGATAGTCAATAGCTTTGCTTATCCTCAGGTATCATGGACAATCGTCAATCTCTCTTCTACGTCAACGATGGTCTTAATAGGAAGGTTCATTGGAGGATTAGGTTGCGGCCCTTCCCTCGTCTACGCGCCTATGTTTATTTCGGAGATCGCTGAGGAATCAATAAGAGGAGCATTGGCATCTGGTATTAACACATTAACATTCAATAATATAATGTAAAAATAATTGTTGTGTGATCGAGGCGTGTTGTACTGGCGGGTAAAATACCTACTACCCCACATTGTCCCGTGGGTGTCGAAAGAGGCGACAGAGTGAAACTGAAAGCGGACACGGGCAGCATCATCTTCCTGATAACGACTCAAAATTATAAGAAATGCAGTTACCAACAGCTTGGCAAGCGGTGAAATCTATGGCAAATATCCCTATTAGGCAATCTATGGGAGAGCCCTATGTTTAGTGGACTTTTATATTATGTAATAGATGGATGGAATGGAATACGCCTCTATGCAGTGGCGAAATTACTATTTTCCGTGATGTTTGCCTTTTGGCTTTTACAGCTTTGTCTGATTAAGGGCTAGCGGCTTGAAAGACAGCTAGCAATAGTTTTCTGCTATCCGGAGCCACTAGAGCCGAAAATTCAGTTTCTTGTTCAGTTCTATTCAGTTCAATGACATTGGATGATTTGCTAAAATTATGGTCTTCTTTGATCATCTATCGTTAGTGTAATAAACTACTAAAAAATTGGAAGCGTCAGTAGCCTAATGGCAGGACGCGGACTGCGAACTCGAAAGGTCGTGGGTTCGAATCCGCCATGCGACTACTGTCGTGAACCACTTCTAACACAAGCAATTTAAGCTTAACAGAAGTGGTTAAAGGGAATATTAGTAAAATTAAATAGATTTACTAGTATTTAAAAAAAATAAGCAACTACTGAAAATCCCAAATAGACCTCGTTGATGGTAACATAAGCACTTCTTTTATTTCACATACAAATACCCAGACTGGTGACAGGGAACAGCGACAAAAGTGCGAGACTCCGGGTATTCAGTCACCAGTCGCGTGCCAAGTATGGTGATTTAGTCAGTGGACTCTTTGTAAAGTTTAAATTTATTTATTTTTTAACTTTTTGTTATAAATTTATTTTATTGATGTACATTTAAGAGGATAATTGGTAACTGTTGGAAGAATAATAGTCTACTTGTGATTTGTTTCTTTATGTTTCTTTCCGCTTTTTCCACAAGGTCTCCCAGCAGCAGGGACTTGTTGTAGCAAGGACGTAACGTTTGCTTTTTATAAAATGGTTTTCGTAAAGTGATTTTAAATAAAATATTTGACTTTGACCTTGACTTACAAAGAAGAAGAAAAGACGGCCATCTTTAAATATCCTTCTCTCTCCTAGCTCCAGTTGCCTTATATTGTATGGGCATTCTAATGTCATATATACTGGGCTGGTACCTGACCTACCAATACATTGTGTGGGTGAACCTGGCCTGCAGCGTACTGGGAGTGGCACTTTTGATGACGGTAACTGAAAGCCCCGTGTACCTTTTGCGGCAGAGCAGAGAAGAAGTGAGTATAGTAACTTGTATTCAATGATTTTTTTTTATAATCAAGCGTGTGAAGGTATGGATAGTAAGACCATTCAATACCTTATTTCATGCCGTGGGTATCGAAAGAAGCCTGTGGTAGTTGAAATTAAAGACTTTTCTTTATTTATTACTTTAATCGATATAATTAAGACAACAAGTTAAAAAACAGTTACTAATTATAATATTTTCTTCATGTCTTTTAAAACATCTTTCCATTACATTTTTATTTTAAAAATGTCATGGATCAAAGTCAGAATAAAAAGTAATATATATATATTTAAATTATGTATAACCATAGGCAATAGCTGCCAGTATTTTTCTCTGACTAATAACCTACTTGAATCTACAATAAAGCCTATCAATTACAGCCTATCAAAATTCACTGCTGAACATAGGCATGCATTAGTTGACACTCTTGGCGGGTGGATTGGATACCGTAGTTCTTTTTAAATTGTCTAGTTGTAATTACGGCTGCTGCCCATCTTTTGGTTTGCATCCCTCTGTTTCCTCTGACGACACCCACGGGGCATGGGGTATTGGACATTCTTACGACAACACTGCACGGTGAAGCAGTAACAGTTTACCGTTACCGTTACCGTTAAAGCCTATTAAAGTCCACTGCTGAACATAGGCCCCGCCTATAGGTTGTCTCATAGGGGGGATAATTGCTATAGTTTCTACGTGGTAGAGCCATGCTGCAGCTTATTAGTAGTATAGTTGTAGCGCGAATGGGTCGGCTCGACCGGGGAAGGACCACGCTCTCACAGAATACCAGCGTCAAATAGCAGCTTAACACTGCTGTGTTTCGTATGGTGAGTGTAGAGAACCGGAGACCCGTTTTACTGGAAAAGAGGCATTCCATCTTAGCCCTCACGGGTGACAACGCATCTGCATTTTGATTCGCAAACGAGGATAAATGTAGATGTCTATGGGCCACAGCAACCACTTACCATCAGGTGGACTGTGTGCTCGTTTGTCATTCTCTCCTATATAAAAAAAGTTTCAACGCTTGGCAAGCGCAGTTATTTATTTTTATTTATTAAGAAGACGCTGCTGCCCATCTCTTGATTTGTTTACCTCTGTCACCTCTTAAGGTACCCATGGAACGATATGGGGTAGTGGATATTCTTACGCCAGTACTGCAGCCTAGAATTAAATAAATAAAAACTGTAGTCATAATATTTTCAGGATGCCAGACTAGCAATAGCTCATTACAGAGGAGAGTCACCAGCATCCAAAATAGTTTTGGAGGAACTGTCGCGGCTGAAACAACAGATAACGCCTGCTGTTGAATTAATAGCAATGAATGTTGGTAAGGAGGAATAAATATTTTTTTAAGACAGTAGGCTTTATTTGCTTTGCTCATTACACTAAGGCTAATTATAATAAACTTACGATCCGCTTTGACTTCGCAGCTTCGCACGGCTGATTCCCGGATCTTGAGAAAAGCGCCACCTACCGGGTTCAATTGTGAATCATTTAAATAAACACAAAAACCAAAATCGGTTCAGTCGTTTAGTAGTAGTTCAGTGACAAACAGACTTATACGTAGCATACGGAATAAACATAAACACATTTTTTTATTAAAAAAGTATACTAGTGACGCTATTAGTTTTACTCCTGTTAACCTCCCCAGGTGAACTTAAAAATATTTGTGTTAAAAGTGGTTCACCACAGTAGTTGATGACCGATTCAAACTAACATCTCTGAGATTGCCGTCTACACCCTATCATTAGGGAACTGGATAGATTAAATACACAACAATTATATAGACGAAAATAAGAACAGAGCACACGCGATCACTTATCTTCAAATGTGGCGGATTGTCAAACTTCTTTGTCTTTTTTATCAGTCATTAAAATTTACTAATGGACACATTATGGGCCCCTGTTGTCTTAGAGAGGGTTTTACTTAATCACATCTAGCAGAGGGATTGACGATTACAGTAACAAGCTGCACTTTTGACGCTGCTCTGGTCTTAGTTATTCCGTTCGGCGTAAACATAATGGTTATACGCCATTTATTGGGAGCGATAAGGTTTTTCTTGTATTGGCACTTGTGGGATGATGGTTTCTTTAAAGCCACCACCACATGGCATTTCATCACTCACTTGTCTTTTACTGGAATTATTCTATTTAAAAGGTGAAAACTAAAACGCTGTATCCCATTAAAGTAACACAAATTTGCTGAATACAAATCATGTCTGAATTGGCACTCTTTTTTACCATGCTGCAGCTGTATTATGGTTGTAGCACGAATGGATCGGCTCGACCGGGGAAGGATCACGCTCTCACAGAATAGCAGCGTAAAATAGCAGCTCTATCACCACACAAAACACAGCAAGTGTTTTGTGTGGTGATAGAGCTGGTGGTGAATGTAGAGAAACGGAGAGCCATTTTACTTGAAACCAGGCATTCCATCTTATTCCTCAGGAGTGACAACGTATCTGCATTTTGATTCTTAATCGATGATAGATGTAGCTGTCTATGGGCTGCAGCAACCACTTACCATCGGGTGAACTATGTGCTCGTTTGCCACCCTTATCCTATAAAAATAAAAATAAACAATAGACACATATACCGAGGTGTCTCTATAATGATCCCATATTACTAACTTTGGCACGGAATGATATTAATGATGTGTCTAAATTGAAGCCCACGTGAGCGAAGCCGCGGGTAAAAAACCAGTTATATGTATAATATAAGCCGCGCTATAAGGTGCTCATAAAACTTTTTCCTACCTTACATTGGAATAGTCTTTTATAGCAAAAATCTTGTTTCTTAATTCCGAGGATTAAAAATTCAAGATTTTTACATAATTTGTTTTATATAAATTAGTACTTAATCGCAAAATTTTCGTAAATATAATATAATATGCACTTGTTAAAAATTACATCATTATCAACTTAAATTTTCCTTCTTAGCTTTCCTAGACAATGAATTTACGACCAACTTGTAAAAGTATCAATATATATAAAGAAAAACAATATTCTTGTAATTATTTATACAAATTATATTGTTTATAAAGTGTATAATATAGTTCTCAAGTGTTGAAACGAAAGATTACATTTATTTTTTACGAGGTAAAATAAAGACATTTTATTTTTTATTGATTATCTTTATGCTAACAAAATTTATCTCTAAACTTACTTTAAACTGACATAATATTATTTTTGTCTTAAACTATCTCTAAATTTACTTAAAACTGACATAATAGAATTTATCTCAAATATTTTTAGAGATATGCTAAATAAATAGCAGATGATAACGCAACTATTTTATAACATATCATTAAAAGTTGAATGTTATTATCATGCAATACACATCAAAGAAAAACTTACGGCATAATTCTTAAGTAATAATTTGCGTACATGATGCTCGTATATTATATAGACCTTGGTTTATGTAATCTAGACTGTAAGCAGAGCCAAGGCAGCTCAGAGATTGATCTTTTTAATTTTATAGTACGTAGAACATACAAAGTAATATTAGTAACTTGAGTTCACCCACGAAGTAGTAGTAATTGTTGATTGAAGGCTAAAGCAAAAACAAATAACAAAGAACGATAGAAGATAAGAGGAAATGCGGACCGAGAGAGTCTAGTCTAGTTGCTGTGATGTTGATGCTGTTAGCTGTTAGAGCCGCATAGGCTCTAACAGCTTCATCGATATATAAAATCGAGCTATAAAAAAGGGGGCCAGGAAGATTATTTATTTTAGTGTGGACGCGACGTTGCACTAAAATAAAGTTCTATTAGAACTTTACGAGCCCTCCGGAGGCTATCCGTAACGTTCGGAGTCGGCCCTCTCGAAGAAGCGTCGAACCATCTCCTTAAATTACTCAGGGATCGTCGGAAGTTGACAGTCTTTGTGTAAGTCGGAGTTTCGCTAGTACCACCGAGCTCCAGTGGCTATGTAATTGACTTGGAGGTCGTACAAATGTCTATGGGCTGCGTGCGCGAAAACTATGCTTGCGTAAGACATGATAGGTCTTACGCACGCTTTATAAAGGTGGAGCTTGTGTCTTAAAGACTTTGCTCTTGCTGTCAACTAGCGGGTGGAGGCGACTAGTGACGAATTTTGCGTGGTTTCGGACATCGCGAATGTGCTTCGCCAATGTCATACCTTGGTCGAATGTAAAACCCTAGGTATTTGGCCGTTGGTTGCCAAGGGATGTGGCGGCCGTAGAAGGTGATCGTACTTAACGTTTTATTGGGATTTCTGATTTGACGATGCAAAGTGGAGATCCTTTGAAAGCGTATTGCTACACTTATCTCAGGATTCACTTCGATTCTTCATAAGCGAAACCAATCGACTAGGCAGTTGACGGCTGTTTGGAGCATCTTGGTGAGGTATCTTTTATTGGTATGAGCGACGAAAAGAGCCGTGTCATCTGCGAAAAGAGCAGTATTCGCTACTGGCCCCTTCGGGATGTCACTCGTAAAGAGTGTGAAGAGTAGTGGGGAGAGGATAGAGCGTTGTGGGAATCCAGCCTTAAGGGGACGTTTTTTAGAGCGAGTACCCTTTATTTGATAGCGAAAGTGGCGATTGGCAACAAAGGCTTTGATGGTGTGGATGAGCAAGCCGTCGTGTCAAACTTTGTCAAACGCTTTTGCAACATCGAGGAAGAGGGCACCGGTAATGGCAGTTCTGTGACTTCTTTGTGAGAGGTCGAATCCTTTCAGCAACTGGTCGGTGCACGAGTATTCAGGTCTGAAGCCCAACTGCTCGCCCGGAAGAAGTTTGTTGGTGAAGACGTGTTTACGAAGGCGATTCAATATGAGTCGCTCGTATACTTTCCCCAGTGTGCTGAGGAGACTAATTAGTATGGAACTAGAAGCTAAGTTGCGCGGTTTCCCAGATTTCGGGATTCCTATTACATCTGCGTCTTTCAATGCATTTGGGAAGGAGCAGCTGGAAAGAAGAGATTTACATATGTCTACTAGGAGGCATACTAGTGGCGCGGAGAGAGACTTCAGTACTCTATTGCTAATGCATTTCTAATTCATTGCATGACTGGGCGCTGATTTCTTTTTATGGCTTTTAGTTACTTCTGCGACTTTGTCGACAGTCACAGGTTCTAGGGAGTAGCCCGCAGGTGGTAGTGCAGACTTATGCTCGATCTCCGCTTCGCCCTCTTCAAGGTGAGCGGGATCTGTGGGTTTGCTAGGTGGAGTACATTGGCTTTCTAAACTGTCAGCGAGGCATTTGGCTTTTTCAGAGTCGTCAAAGGCGAAATCGGGCATTCCTGGCCTGACAAGAGGCGGTATAATTGAGGATTGTTCTGTTTTCAGAGCTCGCATCAACTGCCAGAATGCAGTTTGCAGCTCGTTGTCTGTTAGCAGATTATCCCACTTATCCTGTCTAAACTCTTTAACGCGCTGTTTCACCTCGTTTTGGAGGTTGCGCGCGTCGGTGTTTTGTGATCGTATTGTCATAGGGCCGCGTTTTTTGCTCTAATCAGTTGTGGAATATTGCTCGGAAGCTTCATTTGCCAAATGCTCGACATACGAATCATACGAGAACATTCTTTGAATGTAGAGGTGAGGCGGGCTGATAGGGCGCTAATCGCCTCATTGGCCTCCTCCGCCGAGTCTATCTTATCCGGGATTTTATCTGTGCTGGGAGGTTGTAGACTCGAGTTTGACCTGGAGTTTACGCCAGTCTACGACGGTTTTGCGGGATACTCCAGCTGTAATAGGACTGCCGAGATACTTTTGAAAATAAGATATTTGAAGAACTGTTGCTATCGCTCTGCGGGCGCTTGGCGTCCGATAAGGACAACTGCAGATCAGACTGTAGAGCTTAAATAATTCGAGATTTGGCTCTCTACCATTTCCTCCTCCAATATTGGACTAATTTAAAAGATATTTCATAAACTGAGTAAGAAAAACATACAATGTGTCCATGTTTTAGTTTTTCAGTATTAGTTATCAAATTTGAACACTAGACCTCTGATGATAGCGGTCCAAATAGGAAATTTTAAGCATTTTCTAAGAGTTCTAGTGCTTATAAAGATAATGTATAATCAAAAAGGAAAACATAGGGACATAGGAGAGGTTTATATTTATTTTACTGTTAAAACTCATTACCTACTATAAGGTAATAAACTAAAAATAAAACAGGCCAGAGCGTTTTATATGGAGAAAAAAACCACCCGCGTATCCTCTTAAGATAATGTCACAATGTATAAAGTCTGAATGATAATTTGTAAAGCAATACCGTTTTTGTTACAGAAGACAACCCTAAAGCAGAAGAAGCGGAGAAGGAAAAGCTCAATACGGATGATGATTCTCCAGAAATTAAAACGAAAATGTCGTCACTTAAATTATTATGTGAGTAGCTTAATATTTACAGTCCAATTACATCATTACTAACCATGTGGAATCCTGCGGAGGACCCGACGGATTGGTAGATGCAGATTTTTATTATTTTTATGCTGCTACCCGTGTCATGTTTCACTTCACACTACGAGATGATATGGGGTAGTGGATGCAAAGCATATTGAATATTTAAAAATTCAATATACTTCCATTAACCTGTATTAAATTGTATATTTTTTATTAGGCATATATATATATTTGAAATTGAGTTGAAAGTGAAATACAATTTTCATAATATACGAACTTAAAATTTAATGAATTACGATATAATTTTGATAACCAGGCGACCACACGTAATAATATATTAGCAATATGAATTTCATACCAAGTGGAACCACACAAGTAATAAGTGGTAGAGCCACAGGGAAATCCCGAGTATGTTCATCCGGAAAAGACGCTTTCACGGACTAGTAACAGCATGGTATTTCCACATTATGTGTAGTTCGTGACAAAAACTGGAGAATCTATTTCATCATTATCATTATCATTACAGTCCTTTCATAAGCCCACTGCTGTACATAGGCATCCCCCAAGGAATGCCACAAAGCATGGTCCTGAGCCACCTGCATCCATCGACTTTCTGCACGTCTTACCAGGTCGTCTCTCCATCTAGTGGGAGCCCTTACCACACTTCACCTACCGGTACAAGACTGCCACTCGTGAACTTTTTTTCCCTACTGGTTTTCGATTCTTCAAGCTATATGGCCGTCCCATTGCCACTTTAGCTTACTAATCCGTACCTAACTATTTACTAGTACCTAATCAATTTTTTAATAAGAATTTACTTAGTTCTCATTTTCAGATATTTAGATTTTAGTCATATTGTAATCTGATATTTCTTTCAGATTTATCGCCATCGTCACGTCGAGGATTCATCGTGGTGGGTTTATGCCTTGCTATGCAGGTAATTATATAAGTTTTTCATACTGTCAATATCAATACAGCCCATCACATTTCTACTGCTGAATATAGCGCTCAGGCATATGTTGCCACAAAGTACGGTCCCGAGCCACCTACATCTAACGACCTACGTATTTCATCAGGTCGTCACTCCATTTTGTGGTAGTCGCCATTACCTGCGTTTGTCATTAGGAAGCTGCTACTCGAGAACACTTTTTTTATCGCATGTCGGTTCTTCGAGCTATATGGTTGGCCCATAGCTACATCATGCTACTGATCCACTGGGATATGTCAGTGTTCGCATATATGTTAGCCTGAAGTGGACAGTGGGATTTTTTATTAGGTTCACGAACCAAGTAAAGTGCAAGTGCTAAAGCGACTAAATGCTATTCCCTCGATCCTTCACACTAGCTTATTACTAGTGCGTATAAACGCTAAGGGCTAATCCACACATGCAGGAGTTTCACCGCGTGCTAAGTGATACTGACGTTTAGAGGCTTGCGGCATGAGGTATGAGTGTAGATCACATGATGAGTCTCCGAGTAATGAGGACATAAGGCTTTTCATATGAGTTAAGAAGCTCGAAGACTTCATAAAAGCGATATTAATATATTATGAAATCCATAAAGTTGCTCTTTCTCTTTTCACTAAATGACAATAGAAAGATGATAGATATAGTGTTAATTAACGTTTAATTTAAGTAGGTCATAATCAACGGTTAGAAGTAATTTTTTTTATAGGATAGGGTGATAAGCGAGCACACAGTCCACCTGATGGTAAGTGGCCGCTGCGGTCCATAGACATCTACATTTATCCTCGTTTGCGATTCAAAATGCAGATGCGTTGTCACCCATGATAACTAAGATGGAATGCCTCGTTTCCAGTAAAAAGGGTCTCCGGTTCTCTACACTCACCATACGACTCACAGCACACACAGCAGTGTTAAGCTGCTATTTTACGCTGGTATTCTGTGAGAGCATGGTCCTTCCCTGGTCGAGCCGACCCATTCGTGGTACAACTATATTACTAATACAGCTGCAGCAGTTTAAAAGTCAAGACAAGTCCGCTACTTCGTATAATAATACGCCTTTAAATCAAAATCGATTTCAAATTACACACGGGTTATCAAGCGCTATTGGTCCATTATAATAATTACACCCAAACATAAGCCCATCTTTATAGATTGGTCTACATTGTGCTTTTCAGTATGAAGCTGCCACCTGAGACCTTTTCTTTTATATATTCTGCTGCGGATATCGTTACGGTTTTCATCACGCAGAGAAATATTGAGCATAGCCCTCTCCATAGCTCGCTAAGTTTCTTGAGCTTTTTCAAACGACTAGCAGTTAAGATCCACGTCTCCATGACAAATGAAACAGAGACGTGGTCAATGACGATCAGGCAATAGCTTTAACCCTTTTTTTAATTCTGATATAATACACATATTCTAGTTTGTTAAACTAGAATATGTGTTACGATTCCTCAATGAAGCTCAATCAGTTTGCCCAGGTACCTACTGTTTGTTATAACATTAATTACTTTGTAGTTGGTGGAAGGAAAAGAGATCTCCCGCCAGGCAAGGCGTTCTGCCCGGGGATCATTCAACGCTCCAACTGGTAGTTAGGAGATATTCTATATATACTGATTTTACTTGGGAATTTTGATAGCGCGATTTAGGCTTTGATGTATTTCCGCTAGTGGCGTGACGATAGCGCCGCTACATCATGCCCCTGCTCAGACCAGAGGTACAATCTATATGTAGAGCGTCACGTGGTAGAGCCATGCTGCGGCTATATTAGTAGTATAGTTGTAGCACGAATGGGTCGGCTCGACCGGGGAAGGACCACGCTCTCACAGAAAACCAGCGTAAAAAAGCAGCTTAACGCTGCTGTGTTTCGCATGGTGAGTGAAGAGAACCGGAGACCCTTATTACTGGCAAAGAGGCATTCCATCTTAGTCCTCACGGGTGGCAACGCATCTGCATCTTGAGTCTTTATTGATGATAGATGTAAATGTCTATGGGTCACAGTAGCCACTTACCATCAGGTGGACTGTGTGCTCGTTTGTCACACTATCCTATAAAACAAAAGATGTCGATGAATTTGTAAGCGCCAGGAATTGCCTTGTAGTCTGCGGTGAGTCAAAAAGAAGGCAAGTAATCTGCGGGAGTGCCGTGAACCAGAGGCGATCAGTAACGCTCAGAGCCGTGTCGAACACTATAGCGTAGAGAGTAGCTTGAAGGAACAGGAAGCGTTATTATTCCAGTGCTGCGATGAACCTTTGTAAAACTAGATGGCTTGCAGAATGTGAAGACTGCAGACAATATCTGCTCAGGAGCGAATGAATGGGGTACTTGAGGACGATCATGAATATTTGAAGTTGTAGTTGTAGTTGTTCATATCACGTCAAGGTCACCACTGTGGCCGTAAAAGGAAAAAGTGAGATCTCCAGCCGAGCAAGATGTTCTGCCCGGGGAGCGGACAACGCTCCGAGTGGTAGTTCGGAGTTATTCTATATATACCTACTGCTTTTACTTCGGAACTTTGATAGCGTGATTTCCCCATTTCTTCCACCAGCCAAAACTTCAAGCATAGTGTTTCCAACAACTACTGGCATAAGCGTGACATGAACACTAGTCATGATATTCGTCTTGTCATTCGTAGATTTAGCATTTTACTTATGATATTTTGAAAAAACTGTGGACTACAAGGATATTCTTCTGCATCGTGGAAGGGTCTTACACATATAAAAAAATTATGTATGTAAGTAACTAAGACAGGATATTAGTAATTAGTAATCACTAACTATCTGCATCTAATTTATAAAAAATTGTGTTTGTTTGTTCGTATTTTATGCACTGCCGTACTGTTCTTCAGATTGCTGCAAAATTTTGTCAACTTATTGCTTGCAATTGCGCAAAGGTTAAGTCATAGTACAATTAACTTTGTAGTACCAATTAGTACATGGCGCTATTAGTAGATGGCGCGCGTATTGTACCGAAAAAAATACTTAAATGTTATATGTGATTCAATTTCAATGAATGTATTATCATTCATACTAAAACAATATAACTCTTCCAAATTTAAAACAATGTTTCCATAACCAGCCAGTAGCCGATAAATTGAAGATATACGAAGTACATTTATGAAATAGCGAGCAGCCTCAACAAAATACGGACGCTCAATTTGGCAAAGATATTCCTTTCCAAACTCAAAAGTTGACTTTTTACAAGGTTTCCCAGGAACTGCTTTGAACCAAATAGTTTTTTTTAGAGAGTAAGGTGACAAACGAGCACACAGTCCACTTGATTGTAAGCGGATGCTGCGGCCTATAGAAATCTATATTTATCTTCGACTAAGAATCAAAATGCAGATGCGTTGTCACCCCTGACGACTACGAAGGAATGCCTCGTTTCCAGTAAAAAGTTTCTCCGGTTATCTACACTCACTATACGAAAACACTGCAGAATTAAGTTGCTATTTTACGCTGGTACTCTGTGAGTAAAAGTAGATTGTACAAAGAGTGATTTGTAATGGCCTTTAGCAATTATCTACGGGCGCTCGGGAGTAGCGCTCCCGGGACTTACGCACACTAACACAATGTGCATGTGCACGGCTAACAACAAACAAATTCAAAACTTCATCGTGTAATAGAATAAGTTTACTGTCACTGTGTTGTAATTTTGTAGGTCATGATGGGCATGGTGCCTGTGCAAGTGTACGCGAAACAGATTTTCACCAAAGCAGCTCCGAGTCTGTCGTCTCACTTCTGTTCGGTTATGTTAGCTATGGTCCTCCTCGTTGGGAGTCTGTCAAGTCTTGTGGTAGCTGACAAGTTTGGAAGAAAGGTTTGTAAATATCTTTCAAATTCTTAGGTAGCTTTCCTCCTCATCATTCAAATTTTAAATCACCAATAGACTGGTATATCACCTAGCATCTGTACTTGAAATTAACGAACTTGTGAAATAATGTAATTTTAAATTTTAAATGAGAGGAACTGAGTCTTGTCGATACCATCAATTTGCTTGGAATCATATTAGACGCGAAGCTTCAATGGAGCCCCCATATATCAAAACTAGCAAACAAACTTAGTTGTGCAGCATATGCTGTAAAAATGATTAGAAATCTTACCAGTGTTGAAACAGCTAGACTAGTTTACTTTAGCTATTTCCATGGCATAATGTCGTATGGTATTTTGCTATGGGGACACGCAGCTGACACTGAAATTATATTTGGTTTAGAGAAGAGGGCCATAAGAGCAATTTATAATTTAAAGCCGCTTATATTTTACTTTATAACTTGAAGTCACTCCGACAAAAATTTAAGGAAATTAATATATTAACTTTAACCTCCCAATACTATATATTTATGAAAATGTTATGTACGTACACAAAAATAAAAGTAGTTTTACAAAAATAAGTGATATTCATTCTGTAAATACATATACTAGGCACAGACACAATCTAGTAGTACCAGTTACACGACTCTACCAAGTTAGTAATTCATTATTGGGGCGATGTATACGCTTTTACAACAAAATTCCAGAAAATATATAAAATTTGACTTGCTCAAAGTTCATAAACTTAATTAAACTAAGTTTGTATAAAAAAAGGGTTATTATAATATAAAGGAATGACGGGAACGCTACCAAGCTATTTCTAATTTGTTGTGTTGTTAATAGTGTAATAGTGGGTTAATACATGATTATATTTTTAAAAAAAAGTCCCACTGGATTTCTTGCTGGTTCTTCCCAGGACAGAGGTTTTTTTTTCAAACTAGTGGTAATTAAACAAATGAGAGGAAAAACTTTCAATAAGTATTATATATAATCTATATTGAAAAAAAAAGTTTCTGTTTGTAGTTTGAGTGTTCTGTCTGCCAACCGTGGTACTAAATGAAGTTCGGTTTAGTATAACTTTCACTAGACACGGGCCTTTCTCGTTATAGGGAGGATGTGCCTTCATCGTCTTGCTTGGTAGGCGGATTGCGGATCGGAACTCTCGGTTCACGCTGCTGCTTGTCGCTAGTCTGCATATTTCATGTCTGACGGAAACGAGATGGCTATACCACTATTTATCGGAAGCCATTGGACTTTTCTAGTACCGTGTAGTGGCGGTGTAAGAATATCCACTACAGCATATCATCCCCTAGGTTACGTAAGAGGTGACAGCGGGAAACTACCTAGGAGATGAATTTTCTACGTGGTAGAGCCATGCTGCAGCTATATTATGGTTGTAGCACGAATGGTTCGACTCGATCGGGGAAGGACCACGCTCTCACAGAATACCAGCGTAAAATAGCAGCTTGACGATGCTGTGTTTCGTATTGTGAGTGTAGAGAACCGGAGACCCTTTTTACTGGAAACGAGGCATTCCATATTAGTCCTCACGAGTGACAACGCATCTGCATTTTGATTCGTAATTGAAGATAGATGTAGATGTTTATGGGACACAGCAACCATTTTCCATCAGGTGGGCTGTGTGCTCGTTTGTCATCCTTATCCTATAAAAAAAAGATGGGCAATAGATTCTTCCAAGTAACAACTATAAAATAAAATAAAACCTGGGATGCCACCCGTGGCAGCTATTGCACTTATGAGACAACATTTGGGACGGCCTATGTTCAGCAGTGGACTGTGATAGGCTGTCATGAATGGGTGATTGGATTACTTAATTTTTTCTCAAATTTCTCACAGTCACTTTTACGACACTGTCCCGTGGTAGCTGTACTTATTATACGGTTATAATTTTTTAATGATTTTCCATTTAATTTTTCAGTTCCTTTTGATAACTTCATCGATAATGGTAGCCCTTTGCCTAAGCTCTATGGGCATATTCCTGCAGACTGGTATAGTGCCACCGTGGGTGACTGCAGTGCTCATCTTGGTGTTCTGCTTCTCGTTCATGTTTGGAGCCGGTAGCATACCTTACGTATTGATCGCTGAATGTTTCATGCCAGAGGTAGGTTTTATTCATTTTAATTATTTATAGAGTCGTGATGGCCAGCTAAGATCTCGTCTTAAAATTAAATAGCACGTGAACAAACCGAGTTAGCTCCCATCGGCAGTACGAAGCTTTCACTCGGTAACCTTTCTCTGTGTATTGTCAGTTCTTCGCTGTAGTAGATAGTAATAGTCTGAGAGCTGGCTACGAATTTTGGGAAGGTCCTTTTGGAAAGTTGAGATTGTGAAAAAATATAATTTTGTCTATTGTTGAATCTAGTCCCGCAAGTCTGGCAGAGCGTTTGCAGTTATTTTGTTACTGTGAAGCATGTAAAATTAGCAAAAAACAAAATCCAAAAAGGTGTTTTTTGGCAATTTGATTTCTATTTTATCTTTAAATTTAGTGTTTATATAATTAAAAAAAAATCCCAGACGTTTTTGTCGGTTAAATTTTAATCACATATTTATTGAGTAATTTTGATAAATTCTGCAAATCGACAAAAAATATTTTATTTGGATATTTTTTTGCAAATGTTATATGCTGCGCTGTAACGATATAACCGCAAACGCTCTGCCAGACTCGCGGGACAGGATTCGGCAATTGACGAAATTATATTTTTTCACAATTTCAGCTTGTCAAAAAGATCTTCCAAAAATTCGTCGCCAGCTCTCAAACTATAAGATAATTTAAAATAAATATTTTGTACAACCGACTTCAATATAAATAATTAAGAACAACTCAAAAACTATTTGGTCAGACCATGATCAAATTTATATGGGACCACGTAAGAAGCACCAGCTTTCAAATGAAAATAGAATCATCGAAATCGGGTCAGTGGAATAGAGTACCTCCTCCTCCTTTTTGAAGTCGGTAGAAAATAGCTTCTTATGACATCCACGGACGGTATTATGTGATTGTTTTTTTTTATATTGCCATTACACTGCAGTTTGGCTTTATGGGCTGCAGCGTTGTGAAGCCGCGGGTACGAATCCCGCATAGAAAAAGTGTTTGTATGGTCTACAAAATATTCTTCAAGATCTGGATGTTTTTATGTTATGGGAAAATGTTTTCGGTATACTATGGTGAATGATAATCCTATGTTATGATATGCAGGAAGTTTGCATGCAGGTGGCTCAGGACCGTGCTCTGTAGCATTCCTTGGGGGAGGCCTATGTTCAACAGTGAATTTGTGAAGGGTAGTAATGATGGTGATGATGATGATACTACATTAGTAAAAGTAAAATATAAAAATAATAATCCCGATTTAATGAGAGCGGGAAGCGTAACGTGAATTTGTCAAGTCGATAGTAAGACTGGTAAAATCCAAATGCAGGATTAAAAGAAATCTTATGCTATCACTCTATTTTCAGGTGCAAAGTTTAGCGACTACACTATTAATGGAATGGGTGTGGCTTATCAACTTCTTCATCATTGGAGTCTTCCCTTTTATGATTAAATACATCGGCATCCACGGTTCTTTCTACACGTTCGCTTGCTTCGCCGTCGCTGACAGCTTAATTGGTTTCTTCCTTGTACCTGAAACTAAAGGTCTCACCAAAGATCAAATACAAGAAACATTCTTAAGGCGGAAAAATTAACGCAGCATCGCTTATTGTAAATTTAGAAATATTATTAAGAATCGTTATAATAAATCTGTTAATAATAACTTTCTGTGTAATATATTAGTTATTAAAATATCGGAATGTTTATGATTTTATAATAATGTATATAATATTTTGTAATCTAAAAGCTCATTATAAAATTGTATAATTTCAATCAGCTTTAAATACTAAACGCATTTTAATTCAGTATTGAAATGTGTAAAGATTATATTTAAGGAAAAATAAATGTTTTAAAACAAAACTCTTTATGTCATGTAGGGCTCATCTAGATGGGGTTTTTACTCGGTCATATCGCTGGATAACCGTGTGAAAAATTACGAGGCAAAATTATCATAACATGTATGTTAACTAAAGCAAGCCGCAGATGATGAGAAAAGTCTAATATTACGTTCTTCAAACCCCTTGGTTCAGGCAGCAAGAGTCACTTCTCGCCCAGGGGCAAGCTTGCATTCGAACTACTTTTATCATTTCAATCATTATCATCATCATCATCATCATCATTACCAACATAGTAGACTCTCACGAGTCCACCGTGGAACATATACCTGCCTATATGTGAATCACTCAAAAAGTTTCGCGGAAATAAAAATGGTTAAAGGTTTTTATTATAAAATCTTTGCAAAGAACTCTCCGTCGGCATGTATAAAACCTTTCAAGCATCTGAACAAATTTTTGCAAAATTTTCTACATTGCATATTTATAGGTCTGCACGGAACCGAGGCCATTTCAAGTGACGTCGTACCCGTAATAAGAGTGAGGCAAAAATTGACAAAGAGTAGATTAAATAATTTGTAGAGTCTAGAAAGTGCATACGTGATGTAGCCAAATGCATCGCTTGAGATAGGGTCTGTATAATCACTAGGTGATGGTAGGCCCATACCGCAAAGGTGAAAGCCGATCTGTGTAGCTCTCTCTTTGCGTTCAAATTGACTCTAGATGACGGGGGGAACACACCGCCGACTATCCCGCGGTGTGAGGGCTCCACGCCGTGAGGGCTACTCTTCTCCCTGGACGTCAGCAAGTTGAGTGGGCCTGATGGAGTCATTCCCATTGTCCTGAAGACGTGTGCTCCGGATTTGGCACCGGTTTTAACGCGTCTTTTCCGGTACTCCTACTCCCAAGGCGTAGTCCCGAATTCATTGACATTGACAGCTTTGGTCCACCCGATCTCTAAAAAAGGCGGCCGCTCAGACCTGTCCAACTACAGGCCTATTCCCATCACCTACTTGTTCTCCAAAATAATGGAATCCATTATAAACTGCCAGCTCATGAGGTACCTTGAGGATCACCAGCTGATTAGTGAACGCCAGTACGGTTTTCGTTGGGTTCGATCAGCTGGTGATGTTCTGGTATACCTGACTCATAGATGGGTGGAGGCAGTAGAATCCAAGGGGAAGGCATTGGCCGTTAGTTTGGACATGGAGAAGGCTTTCGATCGGGTCTGGCACTTCTTTCGAAGCTTCCTTCCTATGGGCTTCCGAGAAATTGTGCCAATGGATCACCAGTTTCCTTGCTGATCGGAGCATCAAGTTCGTGGTAGATGATGCATGCTCTGATTTCAAGCCTATCAACGCTGGTGTTCCACAAGGGTGCGTGCTATCACCAACGCTGTTTCTCCAGCATATCAATGATATGTTGCAAACTGGTAACATTCATCGCTATGCAGATGACAGCACTGGTGATGCCTTATATACCGGCCGTGCCAATATTTCTCGGGAAAACGTTGCCGAGTACCGGGACAAACTTGTGTCTGAATTCAAGTCTTTGAACAAAGTCTCGGATTGGGGGCGACTAAATCAAGTCCCATTCAATCCCCAGAAGACACAAGTTTGCGCGTTTACCACTAAAAAGAACCCCTTTGTCGTATCTCCTCAGTTTCAAGGTACTCCTCTTGCTGCCTCAGCTAGCATCGGAATCCTCGGCGTCGAAATATCACATAGTGTGCAGTTTCGTAGTCACTTGGAAGGGAAGGCGAAATTGGCCTCTAAAAAGATTGGCGTGCTCAGCAGAGCGTGACAGTATATCATGCCGGCACATCGCTTGCAACTTTACAAAGCGCAAGTTCAGCCTCACATGGAATACTGTTCTAATCTCTGGGCCGGGGCACCCCAGTGCCAGCTCCTTCCACTTCACCGCATCCAGCGCAGAGCCTTTCTAATCGTCGACGACCGAGTTCTTTTTGATCAGCTCGATATACTGGCACTGCGTAGGGATATTGCATCCCTTTGCATTTTCTATTTAATTTACCACGGGGAGTGCTCTGAGGAGTTGTTCGGATTAATTCCAGCCGCCAAATTTCACGAACGAACATCGCGTCAAAATTCACGATACCATCCTCACCATCTGGATGCTTGGCGGTCCACGACTATACGTTTTACTAGGAGTGTTCTTCCTCGTACAGTTCTTTGTGGAATTGTTTACCACCGACGATTTTTCCGGAATGATACGACTTAGGGACCTTCAAGAAAAGAGCTTACACCTTTTTAAAAGGCCGGCAACGCATCTGCAATTCCCCTGGTGTTGCGGTTGTTCATGGGCGGCGGTATTCACTTACCATCAGGTGAGCCACATGCTCGTTTCCCCCGCTTCTATTTAAAAAAAAGGCCTATGGGAGGTGCATGGTTGCTAAATATAGAACAACTCAGAAGGCAACTGCTTCCTCACCGTTACATATGCTGCCCCTACGGAATGCTACAAAACGCAGTTCTGAGCCACCTGCATTTGTGAACTTCTCACTTGTCTTACCAGATTACTCCATCTAGTGGGGTTTATTGGTACGAAGTTGTAACCCGAGGAAGTTTATTTTCCATCTGTGGTTTGAAGGCAGCGAATGTGGAAACCCCGAAGTATCCCACCTTTGCAGTATATTGGCTGGGCTACTAGAATGCTTTCGCATAAATCCGAGACACCAGTGCCAACTGTCCCGTGGCAGTAGCTTCTTGGGATAACACGATTCTTCATCCTCTTCCTCATTCGACATGACAAATGGAACCCTTGGGTGCATTGAGTGGAAAACATGTGATTAAGAAAAAAAAGTGCCCGGAAGCACCAGCCTTTCTGGTTCCAGTAGTGGATCTGCCGCCAACTATTTCGGCCGCTGGGAATAAGGGAAGCGGCACATCAAAATGTCGACACGATACGACATTATGTAGATTTTCTACCGACTTCAAAAAGGAGACGGTACTCAATTCGACTGTCCGCATGTTTTTTTAATGTGTGTTACCTCATAACTTTTTACTGGGTGAACCGATTTCGATGATTTTTTTTATTTGAAAGCTGGTGCTTCACATGTGGTCTAATATAATTGTAAAATTAAATTGATTAAATTATAATTGATAAAGGTCTTCTACCCATAGTTTATGAGTTATTCTTAATAATTTATATTGAAGTCGGTTTAAAAAAATTATAATATTATACCTTTCTTATATTATATAAAATAAAATAAATCAACACAAAGGTCAAATAACTTCCTTTAACTTTATATCTTAATTTTCTTCCCAATTCACAATTCGTTACATACCAAGTTAAATTTTGTTAACTGTACCGCTGCGGTATTTGGTTCAACGTTGCCGCTAAGTTTAATTGAATTCAAGTTGAAGCGTATGTCGACGAGTTATCGGGATCGGGTTAACTTCGTCCCGAATAGTTGGGGCGGTCTCAAGATTAGTAGAGTCGCGGTTTTGTTAGAACTCGGGGTACAGGATCAACTAACAATAATTGAACTACTCCAACTGGTTTAGTGTAACGTAACTTACATATTTACGAGAATTTAATGTATTCACACGAAATCAAAATTGTTCTATTAAAAAAGTGATCCATCCATCACAGCCTATAATAGACACTTTGTGAATATAGGCCCCAAGATAGCCTCTTAGGGGGGATTTTGCCATAGTTGCCATATGGCAGGCAGGTAACCCCAGTTTTTTTATTATTTTGAGACATTATTAGAAAGATGCTGCTCACGATATGGACGTGTTTCAGTTTTCCTCCGACGTCTCTTACGGCATCTAAGGGACTATATGGGTTAGTGGATATTCTTCCACCGCCACTAAATTATAAAAAAGGGATATTATTGTGTAAAAACTAGAAAAAAAAAACATAAGTTATTAGTTATTTTTTAGTAACTCTTTCATAGCGTCAATCATAATACATTTATGGGACAATTTGTATACTCTTTTGAAACAAAATTCCAGAAATATAATTTAAAACAAAAACTGTAGTTATGAATGAGTATTATTATATCAAAGAATACAAGCATATATACATAAACACTCACGCCTGTCACCCAGAGGGGTAGGCAGAGACTACGGACTACCATTTGACACGGTCCTGATACACCTCTCTTCTCCTTCACATACATACATATACTTACGTATAGATGCTCGTCTGTGTGTTGGGGAACTTCTAATTTAGCCCATATTAGATTGCTATTGCGAGCGGAAATTGCTTATATTGATATAATTTGTTTTCATTATCATCATCATCATTACAGCCCTTCACAAGTCCACTGCTGAACATAGGCCTGCCCCATGGAATACCACAAAGCACGGTCCTGAGTCACCTGCATCCATCGACTTCCTGCATGTCTTACCAGGTCTTCACTCCATCTAGTGGGGGGACGCCCTATACTTCGTCACGAGGCTAAGATATGAGGCCGCCACTAGATAACCTTTTTCCCATCGGTTGTCACAGGGAAAAACTTCTGCGAAAAACGCACGGAGTGTTTGTTTGGTCTCTTAATAATTATCCCGGGTCTAAAACGTTATCCAAGTGCAATTTATGTATCTAAGCCCACTGTGATGAATTTACTGTACTGTATTGAAATGAATTCATGTATGCACTAACTATTCTCCGCGACGTCGCCCGCGTGTAAGTGTAATGCAGTTTAGTAAAATGTAAGTTTAGGTTTTTAATTTTTTGCGCGGAACCCTAATTCTTTTTCTTATATAAAAGTATTCTCAGATACTCCTTAGAAC